TGATTTGAGGAGTGTTTGTTTGTGTACTGTGCCCTGAAAATGCTGGAACAACCTGGCAGTAATCATCAACTCACCCAGTAGACTGTGAATGACCTGTTTCTTTGTATCTCCAATCAAACCAAACATGTAATAACAGCCAATGTTTCATTCTATCAGTGAAAGACTTCATGTAGAGAGATGATTTCACTCCTCCCTCCCTTTGGACTCTGAGAAGGCTTTTCTTTGTTTTACCCTAAGCTAAACTCTGGCCAAGCTTTGGAGGGGAAGAGGGGGCGTACGAAGATAACGAGAGCTGTTTTCCTCCAGAATGTTCCGTGCCTCAGTTTGTATTAGATCAGGGCATGTTGTGTCACATTCCGCTACATCAAAACACATCTAGAGTAACGCAGCGGGATCCAATGTGAAGGTCTGAGCCTCTTTCTGGGCGCCAGTTTCTAGCTCAGTGGAGAGTGAAGTCACAATGCAGTACAAGTAACGTTCGAGAACTGCAGACATGTGTGGGTACTTCACTGGACACAGTTGGGAGTTATTTATAGGATGTGGGTATAAGTCAATTAAAGGCTTCAACTCTGCAGATTACCACACAAAGTGATCTCCTGTGCGTGCCCATCTGAGTGCAGAGAGAACCTCTATGTATGCCCCATCTGGGTGCAGAGAGGACACATACAAACGTACATGTGTTTTTGTATATGGGTTAAACTTTTAAGTGATCTGCTACTAACCCTTACAAGTTTCTCGCTGCTGCAACCCACAGCACACTCACCAGGGCTAAATTTTCACTCGCAAATGGCTAGCGGAGAATGGAAACTTTGAGCCCTGTGAAATATATATAGAAAAACTGTTGTGTGTGCCCAACCAGCTGAAGTGAGACCTCTGTGTATGTCCGTGTGTGCCCACCTTTGTGTATGATGCAGAACTGATCACCGTGCATGCCTGCCCCACTGCAGAATGAGTTTCCATGTGTGCCAACCCAGGTGCAGAGTGATCTTGTGCCCACAGAGATAAAAGATTTCTGGTGTGTGACTGCCTGTCGAAGAGAGACATAATCTTCTTAGAGTGCCTGTTTAGGTGCACAGAGAGCTGTTTTGTGACTGATCCCATGTGTAGTGATGTTCTGTGAATGCCTACACTTTCTTATCCAGGGTGCCCAAAAGGTAAATGTTTGAAAACTACAGCTGACATGATGCTTTGCCATGCTAAAGGCATGCAAAGCATCATGGGAGTTATAGTTCCACATCTGGGGATCTACCTTTTGGGCAGCCCTGTTCTAATTTGTCATCATTTGTATCAGATTGTTCCATTTATATCTGCCATTTTGCAGCCATTTTGGATCCGTCCACTGGGCACACCACATTTTAATATCATGAATTCTAATAATTTACGTAAGATTCTTCCATTTAGGATACTTCTGTTATTTAACCATTTATATTGAATCCCTACTTGACCTCCTCACATCTGTCCACTGTGAAACCACCTATATTTTATATTTGAAATTGTACAACTATTAATATTGAAGCTTACCATCATTTGGCTCCAATCAGATCTTTCTTTTATCAACGTATATAAGTTATAGCAGGGTCCTCATCAACCTATTGTTCCTGGAACATTCTGCAATTGCCTCATTTATTGGTAAATTTCCCCCCTTTATAATATTGTACTACGCTGCAGAATATGTTGGTGCTCTATAATTATTCTGATAATACTAATTTAATTCAGACCCTAACATTGTTTAAATCACTTAAATCAAATCCTTACATTGTGCGTGATTTTAGATAAGACCCTTTCATCATCTAGTCATTAAAAGTGAGTTCCTCCATTGCGTGACCATCATCCATTTATTTGGATTCTTCCATTGTGTGATTTAAGGGGAGCAATATATAATCACATTATATCTAAGGCAGACTCCCAGCAGAGATGGTAATTCACGCACAGAACTAGGAATTTAATATGAGAATTTTTTTATTTTTTTTAATGGAAATAGTGGACTGAATTAAAGAAGGGGATGTTTTTTCCTGCCATGGTTTAGTTACTGGAAAAGTGTCGTTTTGCCAGAGTACTTTTTGAGTCTTTACGTACATATTTCTGTGAGTTTCCAAACCTTTTCACCATCAGTATAAACTCTTCGTTATTTTATCACACATTCTCAGATTTGCTACTAATATCACAAAACATCCTAAAACAATAAATTAAAGCACAGTTGTGACTGGAGACAAGTCAGAACACACAGGGAGGATGAGAAAATAATGGTCAGAGCCACGACACAAGACACTGTCTAAAAACGACTAATTAAAGTGAGACTGGAGAGGCGCTCGGCACTGCTTTATGTAAGGAGCATGTCCAGGGATGGTATTTAAAAGGTCACCACTGTCAGCCTCAGTTAAAATCTGCGCCCAAGACAGGCAGAAGATGACAAACACAAAATGAGTCAGTGTGCCTGCGTTTGAGATGGAACAACAAATCAAATATATATTTAACTGTAACAAGTGATTCTACCCAGTTCAGTTTTAAAAGGGAAATTGCACTCATAAAGGGGGAAACTCGTTATTATTAAAACACTATAATCTAAAAAGCAGACTGTACCCTTTGGAAGAGGAAGTACGTCATATTTAACGCGATATCTCCAACTGGCCCCTGCGACGTCACAAGGACAGTAGAAAGATTCAGGCATGATGAAGTATAGCTACGTCACTTCTATGACAAATCAGAGGTCATATTAAGCAGTGACGCTAAAAATCTTTTGACTGGCTCTTATTTCATTCCTTCGTGGTCCTCTACAGCAGAGTTCCCCCGACTACTCCCCTTTGAAGCTTTGGCAGTTCCCATTGGCTGATCCGGCCAAGAACGGCATACATATTGCTACTGGTCATTTGCAACATGTGCCCTGGATGTGCCAGGGCTGAACTGGATTGTGATGTAATAAGCTAAATATTTCATAAACACATAAAAGAAAATTGAGCATTACATTAAAGACATTACCGCCGGCTATTGGTGATTTTCCAATGTTTTATTCATTGGGGTATTTTCTGTTTAAAGCTACTTTGACGTTAATAATTTTTACTCGCCCTATACCCACGGCGGGGTACACTACATCGCTTAATACAATCGCGCCCTGAACGCTCTGCTTTGCTACTCGTCAAATACTTGAAGCTTTCATGTTCAATTAGAATTAGCAAGACAAAAGGACAGGAAAAATGGAGCAGAAAATTTGCGGCGAAATGAGATCGCAAAAACAGATTAAAGGAATGAGAAATGAAACGGCGAGAAAAGTAATCAGAAGAACTGAATCAAATTCAGTGTAAGACAGATTGCGGCAAGGAGGACATTAAAGCCTTCAGTGTCGCAGGGAATAACAATTTGTTTTACAAAATAGATACTGGACGAATATAGCGACCAACCTTTGTTGTGGCTTTACCGGCTGTGTAGAGCAGTGATAATGGGAATTCCGGTCAGACCACCTTACCAGTAACAATACGTTTATATGACTACCTGCCTAACTCATATCTTGACAGATTGTAAGCTTGTTTGAGCAGGGCCTTCTGCATCTTCAAATAATATATTTCTAGAATTGTACAGCGCTCCAGAATAGGTTGGTGCTGTATAAATGTTAATAATAATAATAATATATGGTCTATTGTGTATCATTAAATGGACAAAATGTTCACAAACACTCATAAAAAGTGGGGTTTGTTTAGAATCCAAACTGGTCAAATTCTACAAGCCAGCTATGTTTTCATAGGTGAATAACTATCGCAATCTCCTCTCTATAGTAACTCTAGGCCAGGCTCTGAAACGGCACATAAATATTATTGCTGAAGTTATTTTTCAGCATATCCTCTCCTGATTCCATATCAGATGGACCTAGCTCTGCTTCGATTGCCATAAAGCACCGTCATACTGTTGTAAAAATAATAGGGTGCACAGATGCATTTCTTGGGATTACAGAAAACGGAGCTGCTCAAGAAAAACAAAACAGCAAATGAACAGGAAACTATATTACAAAAACAATAAAAGAAGCATAAAAAATAATATATCACATATATAATATTATTTATATATAAATAAAGGTGTGCAAACGCCTGCCCCAGAAACTTGATATTTAAGCATTTTATTTCCAAGTAAGATTTGTGCAACTCATACTGGTGTCAGAAACAGAAGCCATCGAGTGTCAGGTTGCAGATTAGATCAGGACATCCACGCCAGTATTAGATTGAAAGCTCTGTTTGGCAATGACAAGCTGAAAGGAATTCCTGCATGTAGAGGAGCCTTTCTGTGTTTTTGCATTGTGCGTCTGTGTGTTAGTGATGTGACTGTGCGCTCCCCGGGGAGTCACAGATGTTCAGACAGGCATGCTATACTCTAGTGTCAAGCGAAGTATTCTCGGGCTGCCTGTGTATAGCAGCTGAATCGCCGGCGGCACAGCACAGACTACATACATTACCTTACAACGGCCTGATAAATAATGGAATATTGTGGCTTATTAGAGGGAAATGTTTATGGATAAACTGTACATTGTTACCGCAGAACGGAATGCGAAGAAAGAATCTGCTTTGAGGTGACACTTAACCACTTCATTGCCAAGACATTCGCCCAACCGATCTGATAGTACTGGGGCTTATTTACTAAGCTGAGAATTGGGGAGGATTGCCATGAGAATTGCAAACTTGAGACTATAAAAGCTGAGCTTAAAAACAGGCAAGGTAAATAATTTTTCTTTTTGGCTATTTTAGCCGGGAATATGAACTTTTCTCGCCAATTCTACACAGTTCCTAGTTTAGCGACTAAGCGTTACGTTGTTCACTGCCCAAGATCTGGCTGCCATGAACCATTGGAGCGCCAGGAGGCTGTTTGCCTTGTTATAAAAGCTGCCTGCAGTACGTGAGTTAATGCCTATGGATAACAAAGTGGTTTGGCTCATTGTGATGATCCAGCGTATTTCCAGCATTACGGTTGGGTAATATGTAGATGATGGAAGTGCACTCAATCCTTTGTCATGGAATTAAGGGTGCTCTAATGGATAAGTCCCAGTACCAAAAGGACCAAACATCAAATCTGAATAAAGAAAATAATCCAGGCACTCGGATATGGTTGGGTAATGGCATAAAGTGGATTTGGCCAACCTAAAGCCACAGATTTTGAGTAACATCTTCCAGAGAGCTTAAGGTCAAGAGAATAGCTTGATGGCAAGACAGCACAAGGGTTAAGGTTATAAAGACACATTTTTATCAGAATTCTAGTACTATAAATCATCGTGATTGGGTCATAGTATCCCCTTTGCCACGTGGACGCTGGCATCTATACAATGACCCTGATGCCAAATCATTTTACAGTTTATAATTTAGTTGCTATTTAATTACTATACCAATAATTGTGAAAGAATTATCCTGGAAATTCCAAATTTCTGGAAAATTCACCGTGGAAAAATAGTTGAACTGGAATCTAACGCCTGTCAAGCAATTTTTGACTACAATAGCTTTCTGTTCACTATGTGAAATCTTCGCAATTTGCAGTTTAGTTAACTCTTTATTCAGCGAAATAATTTTGTTCTTAAAAAAAATGACAAACTGTGATTATTTATGTTCACACGTTACAGTGAAATGGCCTACATCAAAGCAAAATGATCCTATTAGCTGAAAAACTCCACTGTATATTTTAGAATTGACCAATAAGAGGGTTCCAGCTGTTCATAGCCCGAGTCTGAAAGATATGAAGAACAGTCACTTGTATGGTGTCCGTATCTAGGGTGATTTCCAAAAAATGGTGATTAGTCATAAGTCAAGAATAAGAACAAATAAAAACAGATAATAGATAAAATGAATGGCAGAAGAGTAAAACTTCTGTACTATCCTTTGACAGCCATATAAATCAATAGAGGTTAAAACCACCAAGGAGCCACATTTTGTGGATCTTGTGGCTTCATTGACGTTGCTTTGAAAAGAAAAAGAAAAATCAATAAATCAATTTTGAAAAAAATCTTTGTTTTAAAGTAACGACAGCCCTGTTTGTTTTAAAAATTATTAAAGAGGATGATGAAAAATCTGTAATACATTTTGCGTGGTTCTGAGGATGTTAATGTAACACACAATCTTGGTGGAGGTCTAACAAATATATCCACACAAAATGACTGGAGAGCAAAATTCTCCAATATTCGAAGCCGTTCAGCTCAAAAGGCAATGGATTAACTCAATATTGTACAGCGCTACGGAATTTGCTGGCGCTATAAAAATAATAACATAATAATAATATGCCAGCATTTGTCATTTTGTTTTTGCAAAAGCATGGCATTACGCTATAGCAGCCAATGTGTTAAGTTGCAATCATTGGGGGGAAATGAGAGACTTTATAGTTAATGTGTGCAAGGAAAGGTGGTAATTAAATAATTAACACATTGCAGATCTAGTTAATCAGACTTTCTGGAAAGAGAATGGGGGAGAGATTTTAACCCCTTCAGCGCAACGTGGTTAGGCAAATCCTATGATATGTTGACAGTCTTCGTGTGTCATTTGTCATTAAGGAGTTAACGAAAAAAACCAAAAAACAAATGTGTACATTTTCAAAGGTGATTTGGTTATTCCAAGGGCTACTCTGTATTTGATAATGCAAGGCTGAGATGATTATTAATAACGAGGAGAGAATATTTCACATTTTCCTCTTTAGGTAAAAAAATGAAGCGTTTAAATCACAAAACATTACGAATGATTTTTACATACATTATGGTTGAAGCATACAATCATACAACCACAATGGTAAGGAGTATCTCACGTCATGAGATACACAGTGCAGCAAACAGAGTCACACGTTACAGAGCATCTCCTGGGCTCAGTTATACGGCTGAGTTACATAACAATAGCCGGAGAGAGAAAGCCTACATATAACCCGTAATGTCAGAGCCAAACGTAAGCATACTGGATACAACTGGTTTGAATTTTCTTTTTTTTTCTAATTTATTTTTGCAGGCAATAAAAATACAGCTTATGCAACCGTCAAGAAACGGCCGACAAGACGTCACATCTTATAAGTTGTGCAACACAATAAAGATCACCCCACTGTAGTAATTATAAAAGAAGGACAATAGCTCGTGAGTTGTCACAGAATAAACATGGTAATAATGAGTAACAGAGCCAGCTGATACAAACTCCATTTAAATGGACTGATATAACAGAGGACATGACAGGTGGGTATAAAGAGCAAGACAGGGCAAATATTTATCTCACTAAATGTAAGGAATATATAAAGTGGCCTCCTAAAAGGTTGGCCAGATACTCATGATCCTAGGTTGGAGGAAAGACAATACTTAAAGCGGCATTGTCATTTTGTTTTGTTTTTCTGTTATCCTTTCCTTATGCGCCCTTTATATCTTAACGATTATGCTCTCTCATTGCCACTTGCCTTAATTTACATTTATTATCCTCTCTTTCTTGTGCTGATGTCAATACCTGGGTGCCTCCATTTTGTTCTCCAATCCAGGAAGTCTGAAGTTTGCGTTTCTGCGGGCTACTTTTGACTGATAGATTGTGGGTAAATCAGCTTAGCAATTGAAATGGAACTTTGCTTAAAGGGACACCGTAGGCACTGTATCTGCTTCATCTCATTAAACTGGTTATAGTCTCTGGAGTCCCCTGGTGCCATCATTTCTTTCAGCATTAAACAGTTTTTAATGCTGTAATGTTTTAATGCTAAACAAAAGACCCCAGCAGTCCATCCCCTCTGTGTTGCTTTGGCTAATAAGGAAGTATTACCCTGAGCAGCAATGAGCAGCTGTGATTGGCTGAATGTGTCAGCTGACTGATTTTAACCTGTCAGAGTTCCAACTGACGGTATGAATGGGTATGACAACAAGGAAGTGTGTAATCTCTGCCTTAGCTACACATACAGAAGGGGCTGGACTGTGGGTGGCCAGGGACTCTTATTTTGTGGCATACTGCACAAACATGGTGCAACACTGAATGGAGGGACAGTGCCAGGGCACTCCAGGCACTCTAACCAATTCAAAGAGACAGAGTGGTTATAGTGTCTATACAGTGTCCCTTTAAGCTCCGCCCATATCCACACTCCCCATGAAAAAAAGTAGCACCTACATCTTTTATATAAAACAAACAAAAAGGCAGGGAGGAGTCACGGGGGGGGGGGGGTAGAAGCAAGGAGTGAGCCTGCACCAGCCAGTCCATCATTCCCATCAACCTCCGACACCACAGGACTCCTGCACATAAAAAGTATGTTAACAGGAAGGTGGCTAAAAATATAAACAGTATTACATATATGTGTGTCATGTTTTAGCCCCAGAAACCTAAATCAAGGGAGACACCTTAAAAAACCACTCTAGGCACCCAGACCACTTCAGCTTAATGAAGTGGTCTGGGTGCCTGGTCCAGCAGGGGTTAACCCTTTTTTAAATAAACATAGCAGTTTCAGAGAAACTGCTATGTTTATAAATGGGTTAATGCAGCCTCTAAAGCCTTTAGTGGCTGTCTCACTGACAGCCGCTAGAGGCGCTTGCGTGCTTCTAACTGTGAAAATCACAGTGAGAACACGCAAGTGTCCATAGGAAAGCATTATGAATACTTTCCTATGAGACCGGCTGCATGGCGCGCAGCTCCTGCCACGCATGCACATTCAGCCGAAGAGGAGGATCGGAGGCGGAGAGGAGGAGGAGAGCTCCCCGCCCGGCGCTGGAGAAAGGTGAGTGTTTAACCCCTTCCTCTCCACAGAGCCCAGCGGGAAGGGGTCTCTGAGGGTGGGGGCACCCTCAGGGCACTATAGTGCCAGGAAAACGAGTATGTTTTCCTGGCACTATAGTAGTCCTTTGAGGTATTCCTATTTCATTGATCCTGTGAGTGCAAAATAATCAGCGCTAATATCTGTGTTTATAACTATGCTTAATTACTGTTATATGTTTCCCTTCATTATACATAGAGGCATCCCAAATCTATCTATCTATATCTATATCTATCTATATATATATATATATGTATACATACATACATACATACATATATATATATATATATATGAGAGAGAGAGAGAGAGAGAGAGAGAGAGAGATGTGTATGTGTGTTAGATATGTGTGTATTAATTTATGTGTTTGTCGGTGTATGTGTCAGTGTGTGTGTATGTGTCAGTGAATGTATATGTGTGTCTGTGTGTCAATGTGTATCTATGCAGTTACGGATGTGTATATGTGCATACATCCCATCAAACGCCAACAATACATGCAAACACACCCTTGTAATCAAACATTACATACAAACACACCCCTGCAGTCAAACCCCAACATTATACACAAGAATACCCTTACATTCAAACATCAACACTACACACAAGAGTACACCTGCTATTAAAATCCAACACTACATACAAACACACCCTTGCATTCAAATGCAAACACTACATAGAAGTACACTATTGCATTCCAATGGCAACAGTACATACAAATACACCATTACATGCACACACACACACACACTCCACACAATAACATGATTACATTCAAACGCACAAACACTGTTCTTAAATACAACCCTGCAAGGATGGGCAAATGGCATATCCCAGGCTGGCATAGCATGGTACCTGGCATACAACAGATAAGGATTTACCTTTTGGAAACCTTTGCGCTAGAGTGGGGAAGGAGGGAGGGGGGTGGGCAAAAATGTTCTACATTATTTCTGCCAGTGGGCTTTACCTCTAATTGCAACAAACTGATATTCTCCATAGAATCTCTAAACTCTAAATGGAATTAGGTAAATATTACGCAAGTTTCATCAGCCTCATTTTCTTTTCTTGCCATTATTCCTGATCAATAAATGTCCCTTATAGATACATGTAGAACCACCTGACATAGCTGTAGAATGGAACCGCACACCGGTCTATTTTAAAAGCAGAATTTGTTGCTGTCTTGTTATATAAATCATTATTTTTTTTATCCTTGATATAATGAGGCTCATCTGAGCATTGACTCTATAAGCTCTCTCTCTCTCCTTCCCTGTGCGGTTGTGCTAGTAACTAGCAAGGGTAATTATCTGCCCTGGACCCTGGTTTGAGGGCGTAAGGGAGGTACATACCGTTAGTAGAATTCCACAGAAAATAATTAAACAAGATATCCGTTCTGCCAATCACTGCCTCCAATCGCCAATGGTCCCAGGAAACGATAGCTCTTGGCAAATTCTGCCTAGGCTCCCTGGATTCATCAAAATAAATAAAAATACACAATTTTTAAGTGCCTATTAACAGTTTAACGGTT